ACTGTTCAAGTTTCTATACAAAATTTGACATTGACATTTCGGTTTGCAAACTATTCGAATTCGATAATGGTTCGTGCTAGGGGTACAGTATATGTATTATATCCGTTACCCTAGTATCCCATAACACAAGCCTACAGTGCTTACTTTGGGGCTAGGCTAATTGGTGTTAAAAAATACGTACCAACCTGAAATGTCTGATTGTCCAACCATAATGCCATAAGGTATCAATTTTAATACAAAGTTTAAAATAACGCACGAGTTCAAAACATTCTATGGTATTGCAGTATTTCACACTAAACACTCGAACAGAAAAACTGTTATTTTTTAACACTAGTATTTCTGTAAAATTTATAGTTACAAAACGACGAAATTTTTGAATTAAAAACTCCACACGTGTTTAAACGAAACGGCGCGCATCGAATAATTATATAAACCTAAGTATAGAGATCGCAGCCCGCCCGTCAGTAAGACTAGGTTTCATAATAAAATACGCACCGACCGGTTTCCGATGCGGCCCAAGAATTTGGACCTTACTGTTACGAGTTTTGCCTTAACCTGATATACGAGTACCTACACCTATTTAACGTATTTTAACCATATCTTTCTAAATACCATCACCTTTAAACAGAAATGATATTAATAGTTTCGGACTGACTGCTTTGCCCAGTGGCGGATTTACAAATATGCCGCTAATAGGCTATTCAATTCTTGCCGCCCCTTACTGATTTACTGACCTATGAATCGCTAGTTTAAGTTCACGATCATATTTATTCTGAAATTGCAACTTTATGATTTGTGTTCTATCGTCCTCATTACGTAGACTTTTTCCAGTTATTTGCACGATTGTGAACTAAGGGTATATTTGTGTCAGTATCTAGATTAATTCTGCAACCCACGATTTAGTGAGGAGTTACTGTTGACCTAAAAACAGCAGCATGTACTAATTATAAGGTGGGGAAAGGTATGCCTTAAAAATACTTACACCATATGAACACAGATTATACAAAATTATGTGTAGTCGCGAAAACGTTGTTTCTGTTAAATATTTTTATTGCACTTACAGATTAAAAACAATACGAACAATTTCTATTAAATAATCTAATAACAATCCGGTTAATGGTGACAATGAAATCAATTAACTTTTACATTATCTTTTTGCGAGATTCTAAATTCGCAAAATCATTAATTATATCGTCGTATGAAATCTTGTTCATTAGTTCTGACTCTATGCACAAAAGAGAAAAGGCGTTAAGCTTTTCTTGATGTAAAGTAGATCGTAAATATTTTTTTATCCGCTTTAAGCCAGAACAGCTTATCTCACCTGAACAATTTTTCACTGGTGTACATAGAGCCATGCGAAGTGTTCTCCAAATTCTGTTTCCGCAGGAACAAAGATAGACTTTTTAATGATCCAGATTCTGGTTTTATCAAAAATCTTTGAGAAGAAAGGTGGCATTGAAAGTGTACGCATTCTTGAACTAAATCAGTTTCTAAATCATTAGGATATATTTTTTCCAACGAAATGGCTTGTTCCGTCAGAGTCCATGGTAACAACTCACTCATTTTGGTTAGAAATGAAAACTTCTCGTTAAATACGTTCTACGGTCTCGTCACCGCACATACTGAGCTGACATAGCGAACAACTTTGGATCGCGCGTCATAATAGTTAATTTTATTGATATTATATATACGAGTACGTTAAGAGCGCACATTCGAAACAGTCAAGCAAAGAATCCACATCCTACTAACACTTTATCTGTATTTATGTTCGGCTACAATAAGTATACATATCTAACTTTGGTGACTTCTTTACCTGCGTACTAAAAACAACTATCATCTATCAACATCTAAAAGGTGTACGTGGTCACACTGGCTCGTACATTTTAGTGGTCCGTAGGCCTTTTGCCGTTTTTCTAACTCGAACACTATCTATGAGGTCGAGAAACGTATTAACCCTGAAAGTTTCACTCGCAGTCATTGTAATAACTTCTTCAGATGTTTCATCAAATCTTTTTTTTTTCTTGTCGGTTGTCTTTTTCCGATCTCTGTTGTATATTGCTTCCATACGCTTAATTCCATCGCCTTTTCATCGAAATACTTGAAATTCTCTCGTTCAGCTACGAAAATCTTACGGTGTGATTCGTAAAGATCGGTAACGGTGATCAAATCAACGGTAGAAGACAGAATTTGAACATTCACTTTGTTTATTCTTTCCAAAAAACATTCCACACATCAACCATTAGCGCCGTTTTCGCGTTAAGTATTCCCGCCGCTTCTTATCGCGTTACAGGCTTTTTGGTACAATCATCTTTGATTGATTTCAGTCTTAAGAACTTCGTGCCTAGAATCTCTCAAACTTTTACATGCGTCCTTTCTCGCTGACCAACGTGTCAGATTCACTTTCTTTAGGGTTTTGCCTTTCCCGATTTCCCTCATTAATTTAAGCCAGCGTTGTGTCGAGCTTATAAAAAAAAACGTAAATTTCCTGTAGTATCATGAAAAAGCGACAAGCTTCTGTACACGATTCAGCAGCCGCAGCTCTTAGCAAACGGTCATGTCATTCGTTCCCGCGCCGTAACCCAAGAACGACTACGCAAATACATACGTACTTCGTAGAAAATAAATATTTAAATGTTGAAACATATGTTTAATATCATTAAAACTTTTCCTTTAGTTTATGGTTTTATAAAATATATTTTTGATACTGTCACTGTTACAAATTAACTGTCAATAATGAACATACCAAATACGAGAAGACAATTCTTTCTTCTTATTTACTTATACCAAATCCTACAACTCTAATAACCCAAGTAGACGAGCATTATTATAGCTACGTTTTCAACATATTACACGTTAAATATCATTTTTATAGTTTAAAGTAGTACCCATTAAATTAAAAAAAATGGTTAAAAATTACTAAATTTAAATTGTTATTAATATTGAAATGCTATTGGAATATTTAAAAAATTCATGATCGCATAATTACCTATATTTTACAGTGCGTTTAGTAATCTTTTATATACTGATTACGGTCGTAAGAGTGTTCAGTATACTGTGCATTATTAAAATATTTAAAATTTTGTCACTCGTTTCTTTGTGTGTAAGTAAGTATAATAATGTCTTTTTTTTATTTCTGCAAGATAAAAAAAAGAGCCAGCTTTTTCGTCAGGTCTGCCTTGTTCTTAATATGTACGATTATCAATATAAAGATGGCGTAGCTTCTTGACCTTCACAAGTGCTTGTAACAGCCTAGACTGAATAAATGACATTTCATTTCATTTCAAATAATGGACCGCTGAATGAGCCGGAAAAATCGCTGAACACCGGCTAAAAAGTATGACGATATTTCACGAGTCACGTTATGTGACGTCATGTTAGTTCAACGTTCTACGGTGTGTGTTAGGTGAGGCCGAGAGGCTCCTTGCCCACCTCCCCCCTCTCAACTCAACACATCGTCCGTAAACCGACTTTACAGACAACATCTTTATATATATAATTCTTCTGTGAGTGTGTATGTCACTGAACTTCTCTTAAACGACTGGACAGATTTTGATGAAATTTTTTGTGTGTGTTCAAGGGGATCTGAGAATGGTTTAGATTCACAAAGACGTGTAGACAGGACAACGTCTGTCGGGTCCGCTAGTTTTCTTATAAAATTTAAAGGTGAGAAAAAATAACATATACTTTTTTTGTAGTTTTGGCTTTACCTATTTTTATGAAATAAGGAACCACAAACCCTTATTTGGCGGTGCGAAGTTCGCTGGGTCAGTTGTTTTTTTACAAAATAATGAATATGAAATACATTAACTGATTCAATCTTTATATATATAATTCTTCTGTGAGTGTGTATGTCACTGAACTTCTCTTAAACGACTGGACCGATTTTGATGAAATTTTGTGTGTGTGTTCAAGGGGATCTGAGAATGGTTTAGACTCACAATTTTGTCCGCTGGACAACCCCTATTTTTTTTAGGGCGGTACGAAGTTCGCTGGGTCAGCTAGTCTATATATAAAAATCAATTGCTGTTCGTTAGTTTCGCTAAAACTCGAGAACGGCTAAACGGATTTATCTTATCTTGGTCTTGAAATGTTCGTGGAGGTCTAGGGAAGGTTTAAAAGGTGAGACAAATTCGAATTATTACCGGGAAAACCCTAAAAACAGCGAGCGAAGCCGCGGGCAAAAGCTAGTAATTATAAAAACATTACGTTACGTGACATTTGAAAATTAAAAACTTTCACTTAATAAATGATGGCACTAGGACCTGGGTTCCGAACCTGGGGGTAATTACCCCTCCGGGGGTAAAACAGCCATACTTCGGGGGTAACAAAGAACCTAATTATTTGGTCAAATCTAAATAATAAGAAAATACTATATAATAATACTACTAAATAGAGCATGCGCTCCTTCTTGCTAGCGAGCCCGCGGGGTGCTGAGTGTGGGAAGCGGGGCGAGATTTTCTCCTGATGATGACATTATTAGAGAAATGAAATGAAATGAAAAGTCATTTATTCAGTCTAGGCTGTTACAAGCACTTGTGAAGGTCAAGAAGCTACGCCATCGGTTCGCAAAACTACGGCGGCAGACCTTGTACTGAGAAGAACCGGCAAGAAACTCAGCAAGGGCTGTTTTTACTCCCTGTATTGTTATATACAGAGTCGTCAAGTTGAAAAATGATTTCAGAGATACATCTGAAGTCACCTTCCATTACATTATTAAGGATATAGATATATAGTTACAATAAATTTTATATTTAGTATATAGGAAGCGGCATTAGATAGGTACCATATTACTGTTTCAAAAACTGACTCATACCCATCAAATAACAAATTACAAGAAACACTATGAAGATGATGAAGATGAGATGAAGATGTAGCGGCCAAATTGGAATTTCTTGGACTGATAATAACATTTGGAAGTCGGGGTAAAATCTGTTTTCCTAATAGGTTACAGGGGTAACCGTATTGGAAAGGTTAGGAAACACTGCACTAGGATGACTTACCGGGTCGATTCCAGTTGACGCACTCCAGGAACTTGGTGAGAGCCCGCTTATGCGACGACAAGTAGAATCTGTTATAATAACATTAAAAATTATACTTATTGATGTGTAACACCTTTCCTCTCGCTTTCGTGCAATTTATGGGATGGTGTTTACGTGAAGTGGGACGGAAGTGTGTAACAGGAAGTTTGGGAAGCGGACACTATTTGATTTTATTTTAGAACATAATGTTCAAATGGCTTATTCCTTTTGTAGTAGGTTTTATTTTTTTTTACTAAAAATTATACTTATTGATGTGTAACATCTATCCTCTCGCTTTCGTGCAATTTGTGGGAGTGATTACGTGAAGTGGGACGGAAGTGTGTAACAGGAAGTTTGGGAAGCGCGCACTATTTGATTTGATTTTGGAACATAATGTTCAAATGGCTTATTCCTTTTGTAGTAGGTTTTATTTTTTTTTACTAAAAATTATACTTATTGATGTGTAACATCTATCCTCTCGCTTTCGTGCAATTTGTGGGATGGTGTTTACGTGAAGTGGGACGAAAGTGTGTAAGAGGAAGTTTGGGAAGCGCGCACTATTTGATTTGATTTTAGAACATAATGTTCAAATGGCTTATTCCTTTTGTAGTAGGTTTTATTTTTTTTTACTAAAAATTATACTTATTGATGTGTAACATCTATCCTCTCGCTTTCGTGCAATTTGTGGGATGGTGTTTACGTGAAGTGGGACGGAAGTGTGTAACAGGAAGTTTGGGAAGCGCGCACTATTTGATTTGATTTTGGAACATAGTGTTCAAATGACTTATTCCTTTGGTAGTAGGTTTTATTTCTTTTTTTACTAATATAAGGTGAGGTTTCAAATGTTACACATCATAAGCGACTACTGTAAGGTTCGCTCGTTTTTTTGTTATACTATATTAAACAAGTTTAAACGGTTTAGATGCACTAATTTATAGTAATATAAGTTATTTAAGGGATTGTTACCATGTACCTTGAAGTAATTGCGGGTAGGCTGTTACTGGCAGACATATCAGTCTACCCTCCGACGAAGTCTTTTATTGCGTTCGATACCCGTACCACATACCACATTCTCACTATTCACTCGAAACTATTTTCGACACACAACACTTACAGTATCGGATCATGTAGTGTTGTGTGTCGAGAACAGTTTCGAGTGAATAGTGAGAATGTGATATGTGGTACGGGTATCGAACGCAATAAAGGACTTCGTCGGAGGGTAGACTGATATGTCTGCCAATAACAGCCTACCCGCAATTACTTCAGTTACTCCGTGATCATGGCGCTTGCAACAGTGCCGAAAAATCGGAAACTCGCTAAAAACAAGGTACATGGTAACAATCCCGTAAATAACTTATATTACTATAATGTTAGTGACCATGAAAGTTTAAAACAATATATTGCACTGATTTATTTATTTATTGACGATTCGTATATTTTTCATTAAAAAATGTGTGCGTGTACTAGTATACACACGTAAGAAGTGAAACTTCTTTATGGCCTTATTTTTTTCGAAAAATGATCTACATGCAACTTTCCAGAAATATATATATATAGGCGTGCGCTAAGATTTTTCAAAAACTCACCCACTAAAGAAGAAACACGAATATTTGTTGTCGATACTTTTTTTTTTAAAGTTGTCAGAAGAAGCAATTGTTCGGATGAGGTAAATAATGCTCTTTTAAAAAAAAGATGGCGCGTAACCAAAAAACGTGACGCGTAACCAAAAAACGTGACGCGTAACCGAAAAAATGTGACGGTAATTTTTTTTCCAACGCCGATAAAGAAGTTTCACTTCAATAATTAACTATATCCGTCAATAAATAAATAAATCAGTGCATCTATACCGTTGAAACTTGTTTTATTTAATGAGTGGATACCAAAGAAACAAATTATTGTTATAGGTACTTAATTTTTTTTAAACATTTAACTGCAGGATGTTTTAATGTAAAGTTTTATTGTTTTTTTTTTATTGTGTTTTTATGGCGCTGCATTGCAGCCTAAGAAATACTAGAGAAGATTCGACACGGCCATCAGGGCCGCGGTAGCATAATGGACAGTGCATCCGCCCGGATAGCGGAGGGTGCTGGTTCGAGTCCTGTCTTCTACCTGGTCCATGTGCAACTTTTTCTAGTAAAATTTTCTTTAGATTCAAAATTTCATTTTTCTTGTTCCTGGATCTCTAATACTATATTCGTCACCCTATCGCCCCTCTCGCTCACTGCTGACCGGAGCGAGCAAACGAGGCTGCTCGCTCCCTTCCCTTTCCCCCCCACTCACCGATACTTCCACAACAAGTCCCGCTCACTCCCGACCGGAGCGAGCGAGCGAGGTGAGACTGCTCGCTCCCCCCCCCCACTCACCGGAACTTCCACAGCAAGTCCTGTTCGTGCGCGGCCAGAGGCATGGCAGGGGGCGCGGCGACGAGCGCGGCCAGCTGATCGCGCTCGCTGGCCGTCGGCTTCGCGTCCCTCCCGCTCACTCCCGACCGGAGCGAGCGAGCCAGCCGATGCTGCTTGCTCTCCACTAGGTTCTCCTATCGGCGGAGTACCGTAATACCGTATATTCACAGTCGACAAAAAATAAATCGGAATAAAAACGACCACCTAGTCAGGTCATAAATACTGTCACATGTTTAATATAAAATAGTTGAAACGAGTTTATTCATTATGTAACCATTTATATACCAAAATGAACTTAACAAAACATAGATTCTTATGACAATAAAGTTTATTCAAAATGACCTCCGTGATTTTGAATACAGGCCTTCAATCTGCGCGGCCAGTCGTCTATCGCAGCACGAACGAGGTCCATGTCAATATCCGCGGCTGCCTTAGTCAAGGATGTCTTGAGTGACTCCAAATTGGGATGAGGCTTTGAGCACGCCTTTTCCTCCAAGTGTTGCCATATTTTGTAATTTAACGGATTCAAATCTGGACTGGAGGAGGTCCAGTCTTCGTGCTGGATGAAGTCGATTTCACGCGCCGCTAGCCAGTCTTGTGTGCTCTTCGCTCTATGAGCTGGCGCCGAATCTTGTTGGAATACCCAGTGCCTGTTATTGAACATGGTATGAGAAACAGGTTCCACAAGGTTCGTCAGGACTGTATATTTTGATACACAACTGCATTCGTTTTTACACCTTTCTCACAAAAATCTTCTGTTAAGCCCCAATAAGAAACTCCCAACCATACCATGAGCGAGGATGGAAAATGACCTCGTTGGACACGCGGAATACGGTTGCTCGCTTCTTCACTACTGTAAGCGTACACCTTATATTTTTTTTGTTGTAGCTCTCCTCTACGGTAAAAATTTTTTCATCCGAAAAAAGACTTTCCCAATATTTTTTTCCCGCGTACCGCTTCATCAAAGCGCGGCATCTCTTCAGTCTCAGGTCCATTAGACGAACATTCAAACGATGTCCTGTTTTTCTTCGATATGCCCGAAGCCTTAGTCTTCACTTAACACCCTTTTCACCGTGGTTCTGCTTAACCCCATCTGAAGGTCGAACAGTTTCTGCTTACGTTTAGGATTTCTTTGAATTTGCGCCTTCACAGCTTTTATCACTGCTGGAGTCCTAACAGACCGAGGGCAAACACTTCTTGACCTGTCATCTACACTAGAGTCTTCATTGTATCATTTGATGGTACGTTAACGAATATTTTGGTTATATTCAAAATTTTCAGTACCTATGTCAAAAATTTGAATTGGCGCGTAACCGCAACGATGCAATGCAATAACTGTAACACGGTCTTCTTTACGCTGCCACTCCATATTTAAAAATGAGTAAAATCCTAAAAAGTATACATTTTTATTTTCATGAACAATTCGAAATTCGAATTCAATAAACTTTTTTGTGGCCAGCATTCTAAAAGAATAGTTTTTAATGTGTGACAAGACTTATGACCTGACTGTGTACAGTGGGGAACCGGGCAATCTCGCGAAGGCAACTGGGAATAAACACATAATAAGTGAATAAAAGAAGTTTCAACGACGAAAAACGTTTCGTCGTTCGCGTCGTCGGAATAATGCGTTATTATAATGATTATGATTCCTTTGGTACAAGTGTCTTTACACGTAAAAAGCCTACCTTTATCTATGTAACAAGATGTATGGTAAAGAAATGTAACAATTTTTAATTTTGACGTGACAACGTCTTAAATTAGGTTGCGGCTGGGAGTCACTTATGAAAAAGTGTAACGCTCGGTAACATTACGATGAGTCTCTCGTGTTAAGTTTAAGTTTACATGTACAATGTTTTAGTAAACAAAATATATTTCTATAGTTAAAATTTGTGCAATTCTTATTTTCATTCAATTCCTTGTTCCTATTGTGCAATTTAATTATATTCATATCAATAAATATTCTACCGAGAAAAAGACGTTGTCACGTAAAATCTTCGCCCGTAAAACCGACTTTACAGGCAACCATTTTTTTTATTTTATTTCGAAGACGCATTCCTGCAAAGGATGCGAAACGTGAATAGATAAATAAAATCAGTGCATCTAACCCGTTGAAACTCGTTTTATTTAATGAGTGATATGCGTGAAAACCTAAGAAACAAATACACGTGTCATCATATGAACACTGTATAGTTTATCAAATAATGTGAGTGCGTTATCCCGATTTTTCTATTACTTTAATAAAAAACGACATCGATGAAGATAAATGTATAACCGTTCAACGCAATGACGCAATTGACGAGCTAGTTACACGCCTAAAGACGTCGAACAAAATTGAAAAAAGGAAAATCTTTAAAAAAATATTTCTTTGATAAATATAAAAATGTGCCATAAATTCCGTGTCAAACAGTACTCAAAAGATAATGAACGGATCAAGAAATTTTTAGAGAACTGTGTATTTGGCAGACTGATTACCAATCTAAATTGATTTCTGACTACCACGACGTCGAAAACAATGCCAAACGTGTAATCGTAAAATAGGTACATTAAAATATGAAATGCGCAAAACAATTTTTACTCTTCCTTACCTGTAATATTTCATAATCAGGCACTGTGACTATGTCGGCTTGAGCCTTAAACTGGTAAATCTCGTCGCCATCCTGCTCGTAGTATACAACAGCATGCTAAAACAAACCAAAGACTTTTCAACACCACCTCAGAGAAAACAATTCAATTTACTTTGGAAGGCGTAAAATCCGCATATTGACGATGATGTTAAATGGTTTGAAAGCTTATAGAGATTGTTCACGAAAACAAGACTGCAGTCTTATCACATAATCGTTTACAAAATTTACTGATTTAATTAATTAATTTAAGTATCTCTAGAGAACACAAGATAAATATAATATAAATTTAAATGTTTGAACGTCATTTTTATGAGGTACATATAGGTAATTATTTTATTTAATTATTTATTTTTCACAACACACACCAATTAGCCTAGCTTCAAAGTAAGGACTGTAAGGCTTGTGTTATGGGATACATACATAAGTATATTTATATAGAAATACATATTGAACATCCATGACTGCATTTGTACTCCAAATGCACGTATTCATCACACAAACATCTGCCCCCACCGGGATTCGAACCCGGGACCTCTCGAGTCGGCGACACCATGAAACCCGGCGTACAAACCACTCGACCACGGAGGTCGTCATGTCACATTGAAAGTCACCTGTAATGCATACTTTATAAGGTCTTAATTAAAATGCATGCATCAAAGAGGTGTGATAGTTCGAAATCACAGAACACAGAAAGAGGTCGAAATGCAAGATCGTTAAATCGTTTCAGAAAATTTTACGACCTATTGCTATAGGCGGAAGAATATAGAATTTATTTGTATGAGTCTATATCGTAATAGGGATGATGACTAAATTTTTTTTTCTTTGTCAGGTAGATTATCAAAAAGTATTGGACACGTATTTTTTCTTTTTTCACATAATATAAACATAGCAGAGATGTATTGATTTGAAAAGTCGCATGACGTCACGTTTTGGTACAATTTTCACTTAAAAGTGACGTCACGAGCCCCTACTCCCAAACTTTGATGCGCTACATTGTCATTTTTTGGCGTAAAAACCACTCAACCACGGAGGACGTCAGTACAATTAACATTACAAGCTTTTATTTAGTTTCACCTGTCCCAGTGTACATAGTTTATTTTTTGAGATAGGTCCGACAAATGACTCCACCCCACCTGATGTTAAGTGACGGTGAAGTCCAGACGTGAAGATAGCTGGTACAGCATTTCTACCTGCCACACCAGCCATCTTCACCTTGCAGGCCTGCTTTGCTTCTTCACGCCTCTTTTAAAGGATCCCAGGTTGTAAGAAGGAGAGAACACGTGAGCGGGCAGAGCATTTTATTTACGGATATATTTGTCGGTTAAATACTAAACTAGAATGATAAATTCGATCAAATTAGCTATGAAATATTTCTTCTATTAAACTTTATTACACAAATAAGTGTGCAAGTGGCGGACTTAATGCCATTAGGCATCCTTTACCAGTCAATCAGAGAATTTTAGCAATTATCTTAAGAAGGTAGTACAAATAGAATTCAACTCTTCAATCACATGTTTGGTAACATTTAGTGAAACGAGTATATCACTGTTCAAAGAGGGAATTTGAATTTCAAACTATGCCGGTCGTTTACCACCAGGAGGGCCGTATGCTTGTTTGTCATCTTTTTAACAATTTTTTTTAGCCATGATGCTAGTGAAAATTTTAATCAGATGATCAGATTTTTCAGATGTTTGTGTGATGAATACGAGCATTTGTACTCCAGTCATGGATGTTTAATATCTATTTCTATAGAAATATACTTATACACCGTGTTCCTGAGGATATACATTCACTTTGAATAATACTTCTCTAGCTCTTCATAAACATATTGTACAAAGAAAGTAGTAGTTTAAATAGCATAGTTTTTAAGTAATTTAAGTTTAACCAACTTAATTGTGTTGTGCAGTGAGAAAGAGTCTTTATCTGTGAGATGTTGCCACATTGTGCAACCAAAACTATCAAACTATCAATTCTTTATCAATGGTCATTAAGTCATAGTTTCAAAAGACAAAATTTAAAAAAACATTGTTGACGTCAAGAAAAGTTTCAAAAAGTTTATGTGGACATGTGAACCAAAGTTTCAAATGCGACGTTGCCAGCTCAGTGGGCCAATCGCCTAACCATATTGCTTTGGAAAACGCTAACGCTTACGATTTCATTTTGTTATTTCTAACCGCCGAAGGTTTTCAAATACCTCACGCTCATTTTCTTTAACATTGTTATTACCAATGCAAAAGAAAAAAAAAGAGCGCGAGGCATTTGAAAACCTCAGGCGGCTAGAAATAACAAAATGAAATCGTAAGCGATAGCGTTTTCCAAAGCAATCCAGTTAGGCGATTGGCCCCCTGGTAAAGAGTAATTCATATAAGATAAATTACATCTAAGCATTTAGTTTGTATGAAAATAAAAAATGTTAAAGAAATTGGAATTCATAAAAGTGTCCATAGTAAAAAATGTTCAAAATAATAGTATGAATAACATGCCAAAGTTAGTGTATAACCTCAGGAACACGTTGTATATGTACAATAAATGTATTCTATCCGTTACCCTAGCATCCCATAACACAAGCCTTATAGTGCTTACATTGGGGCTAGGCTAATTGGTGTAAGTGTTGGAAATATTTACTATTATTTTTAATATTATTAACAAAAAAAATTAGGACTGTAAACCAAACAGCCCGGGATTTGTTCCTAGTATGCGTAGCAGGCGAGTCGAGAAGGAAGGTAGAGGTCTGATATTTTCTATAACAATTAAAGATGTAATCATCATCATCGTCAGCCTATTTATGTCCCTACTACTAGTAGTAGTGCCCTAGGGCACAGGCCTTCCCTATGGATGGAATAGGGGAGATTGAACCATGACCCACCACGCGGGCCCAGTGCAGATTGGCGGGTGCTTACAACTGCAGATACAGCCGGGACTAACGGCTTAACGTGCCTTCCGAAGCACGGAGGAACTCGATATTGAAGATTTTTGGTCACCCATCCAATGACCGACCACTGCGAAAGTTGCTTAACTTCAACGATCGCAGCCGAACGCTCTAACCACCCGCGCCATCGAGCTCCTCAAAGATGTAATGCTAAAGATGAACGATAAAAATGAAACAATTATAGCGATATTTTAAAAATGTTATGGTGAAAACTTACGTTGATGCCATCGATCTGCACTGTCGGGAACTCCACCATGAGGTACATGTAGTCGGAGCTGCGCTTCTCCTTTTCATTGATCATTTCTATCTCCCTGAAGGTTAGTCTGTCGAGCCAGTCCACCTATGAGGTTACAATAGCGATGTTGACTAACATTTTTTTTTGCTGATTATGAAAATTGTATTTTTGCATAGTTTTACCAAAAAATTGGTTGAAAACATCAAAGTGGTTGGTGTGCCATTCTTTGCTATGCCAATCACTAAACATTTGATATTCTTTCCGTTGATTTTCAAATATTTGAATTCATATTGATATTAAGCAGTTTAAAGTATTTCTAGTTTGTTATATTGTTTTAAATTTTCATGGTAGCTATTAACGGGATTGTTACCATGTACCCTGTTTTTTATGAGTCTCTGATATTGCGGCACTGTTGCAAGCGCCATGATCACGGAGTAACTGAAGTAATTGCGGGTAGATGTTATTGGCAGACATATCGCTCTACCCTCTTAAACCCTAAATAGGGGGTTATGAGTCTCCATAAAAAAACAAGGTACATGGTAACAATCCCGTTAATAGCTATAATTCTAGTTTGTTACTTAACCCCTATTTAGGGTTTAATAAATTTAATAGAATTGTGGGATCATATTCAATAGAAACTTAATAATTATTATAGTACAGATAAACAAATGAAGAATTCCGCTTAAAGGGGCAATCATTATAGCGACAGTGGTAAAGCAAAATCGCTTAAACGCCACTTTAGTAACTTTACAGAAACGATAATCAGTTTTGTTCTCCATAAAAAAACATAATTCTTTGTAAATGAGAAGTAGCGCCATAAAAATAAAAACATATTTATAAAATAATATTTTCTAAATATCCTCCTATTAAAAATTTATAATATAGTGCCTTTACAGATTAGATGCCACTTAAACGAACATCACTCGGCCCGCCATACATTTTTCGTCAAGCAAACATCAAATCATACGCCAAACAGAAGGCCGTAAGCGCCATTGGTTCAAAATACCCCGAAACGTATGTCACTACAATAAAAAAGATAAAAAACAAATTGTTGCTTAAGCGCTAAAAATGTTCTCAAATCTTCACAAAATATAAACAGATCGACGCCGAAAAAAAAACTGATTTAAATGATATATTAACTCATTTAACTCATTTTCGACCAAAGTGGTGTATAAGCGATTTTGCCTTTTCAATGTGTATATAGTCTACCCTAGTACAGATTCTGTTAAGTAAGGAACAGGGTACTTTAACAGTCGGGACCTACTATTGGGAAAATTTTATTCATTATAGAATATAATATAGTTTTGAAGACTTCCGTGGTCGAGTGGTATGTACGCCGGGTTTCGTCGTTCCACGACTCGAGAGGTCCCGGGTTCAAATCCCGGTGGGGGCAGATGTTTGTGTGATGAATACGAGCATTTGTACTCCAGTCATGGATGTTTAATAAGTATTTTCTATAAAAATATACTTATATGTGTACAGTATATGTATTGTATACGTTACCCTAGTATCCTACAACACAAGCGTTATAGTGCTTACTTTGGGGCTAGACTTCTTACTAGTTGGTACAAAAAAAAAATATCTAATCTAGTCCCGACTGGTAAAATATGTAATTTGACAAGGAAATTTTCAGTCTATTCTGTGTTTGTCTTACCTTAGGCATGTGTCCGTTCCTGTGTTTCTTAGCCAGCTTAGCCAACCGCTGCATTTGTTCCTTGCCTCTGTCAGGCGCCTTGCCCGGCGTCTTCTCGCTGCCCTCGACACCCGGCCACACTCGCAAGTCGAACATACCCTTGTTTGTGACCAAACGAACCTTCTTTAATTTCCTCAACAACGAGATGTACCGTTTATGGCACAGAGCGCAAAACGAATTCCCCATTTTTTTGAATTATTTTTTTTAACTAGATGTAGGTTCACATTTTAAGTTAGAAACTTTTTTGATCGAATATTTAATATCTAATGAGAAAAAAAACTATTAATTATGTTTCCATTGCGGTGAGTTCTAAACTGTTACTGATCTCGTTGGGGGAGTGGCAGTTTCCAGATGATGACGTGTGTACGTAATAATTGATAAGTTGTCTCTTTAGAAGGGCATTCACACAACTCATATAATGTAAATAAATATATCACTTACGATAATGTAAGCTTGGTCTCATTAATTTACTCATTATAAAATAATGGCCAAGTGCGAGTCGGATTCGCAGACGAAGTTTTTCGTAATATTATATCTACTACAAATATATATATTTAAAATTTGTCGTTATAGCGGCAATACAAATTACAAATACACATTCAGTGAATATTTTAATAGTCTTATTATTTCTTAAGTGGTTTTCTTTATTCTTTTTATGGTAAAATTAATTTCTCTTTAAAATTACTCTTTTTTTTTATTATATCAAGTAATTAGATGCATTCACTGTGTTAATTTGTGATGCAAATAAGTAAAAATCTATTCATGTACCTACTCTAATTAAAAATATGTACAATAACACATCCGTGATATTGACAGTATAGGTACTAGTAAATAAATTGTAGCCATCTTGATTATTTCAATTGAACGCCTAGTTTTCCAAACATTAATTGATTTAAACAATAAACACGGAAGTTGGCAATGAGGTCAAATTATATGTGTTACTTAAGTGATTATAATTAATTATTACTGTTTTTAAAGATATTCTACATAATTATGTACAATGCAAAAACTGAAATTTGCAATATTTTTGAAGTAAAACTTTTTTTAGACACGGTGTAAATGGAAAAATCCTGTAGAAAAGGTGAAACGGAAATTTGTCACAAGTGTCACACGACTATATATAAATATATATGTTTATATGTGTATGTAAGTGATGCGTGCGCTGCTCCATTCCCCTATGTCATAAGACATACTGAACTAACACTAGGCGGTGCATAGGGTAGGCTAGTGTGGGTATTTAAGAAAAGAAGTTTCACTTCAGATGTCTCCCCGACCCCCCGATCCTGAGAGACCTTCAGTCCCTCAGTCCCAAACCGATACGGATGCACATCAGAGTGCATCCGTCCTCTAAGCGCACTATGCAGTAGTATTTACTAAGGCAGCGCTGCATCATCCCCTTCTCAGGGGTTGATCGCATCAGATGAAGCCTATAAGGCCCCTAAGGCCATAGGCATCCCCCACAGGTGTGTTTTTAGTCAGTAAGAGTCTGACATAACCCTACAGCCGGCTGTAGGGTATCCATGAGGATTTCACACCCGCTCCCCCGCGTGGGAGGAAACAAAAAAAAACTTCAGATGTGTGTCTGTGCCTTGTCTGTGCAAACAGTCACATATTTTTTATAAGAGACTAGACAAATTACGCCTCCTTACCTGATGTTAAGAGTAAGTGGAGACCAGTCGCAAAGACAGATAGATAAATTCTTTATTGCACACACAAAACTAAACAATAACATTATGTGGGCAAAGGCGCCTTATCACTTTAATCTCTTCCAGACAACCTTTGCGGTAAAGGAAAAAAACGCATGGACAACCGAAAACGATATATGGTAAACGAAAACAGTGAAGCAACCTAAACAGAGGCCTTCTATCTCTCCCTTTAACCAAACAAAACTCATGTGCCGTTTTTAGCACGTTACAATTAATTGCACTCGATCCCACCCTACCTTGTGAAGAGTAGTGATTCTGTTGGTGAATAAAGTGAACTTTATGTTGGTAAATAAAGTTGAAATTTTTTAACCACCACAAAGAAACACATCACCACAAAAATATAGTGGTATTTCCCTACTGCTGTGTAAGGTGGAGGTAAGGCCAGAGTTGTATTTCATATAGGGTAGCTATAAATACTGGTAGGTCATCAGCAGGGGCGTATTTTAAAATCTGGCGCCACCACTTAATATTTGCACCTCCTCCCCTAGAATCAAAACTAGTAAATCAAATCAGAATGTAGGCCAGTAATGAATGCCTTAATGCCTTTATATGGCTTCTGCCGGCCCGTTTTAAATCATATTATGATGACTGAATTATATTAAGGCCCTTGCTCCCCTCTAGCTAGGCCCTATCTCCTACTATTCTCATTCTCCTCCTACATTCCTAGACAAAAATTATGAGAGCCTACTGGAGACTAAAGGAAAAACCAATAATAATATCTGTTACTCAAATTTTTGCAAAAGTATTTCTAATACATTTGATAATTAACATGTGTGTGTGCAGTTCCATGCTCAAGCAGTTAGTGTATTTGCTTGCAGAGGCCCAAGCACGAATTTCGACACATCTGTAATTGTATTGTCAATTTTGTAGGTAGGGGCGCTGCTTAGTTTTAAGCAGAGATAGAAAATTTGATACGATAATGGAGGTGTCTAAATCCATGCTTTGGCTCTGTTTGTGGAAGTCATTAAGCATGATTTGTACCTGTCTCAGCATGCCATGTTTGCCAAAGAGCGATATAGTTGTACCACCGACCACCATGACCTTGCCTGGACCAGCACAGTCATATATAGTCATAGCCAGTGTCGCATTTCTAGGCAGATCACTGAAGAAAACTGGCAGGGTCAACCATTCATTCCAGCTATGTAACAAAATTATTGATAGTTAATATTATTTAATAAAGTTTTGCATTCATAATATAGAGTAATTGTTTGGGAAAATATAAAAAATCAGAAAGATTTAAACATTTAATAAATAAAACTTTAACTTATTTTTTAAAACAGGTAGTGATGATGATATAAACAATACTTGTAAAAATGACAACCAATGCTGACTTGAGGCAGAACAAATTGCCTTATTCATACTGTAGTTTATTTGTTTCTTAGGTTTTCATGCACATCACTCATAAAATAAAACTAGTTTTAATGGGTTAATGCACAAATTTTATTTATTGACCACTACGCAGACCTGAAAATGCTGCGAAACATCAATAAATAAATAAAGTTCATGCATTAACCCGTTAAAACTAGTTTTATTTATACTATAGTTGTTTTATTTGAGAATTCTCAAACAAATTTTGTAAACTGGTAGCTTTAATAAAGGCTTTTATTTTTATTTTTTGTTTTATTTGAGGTATGCTCTTGTCTGCTAGAAGCAATATAGAATAACACTAGTACTGTTCGCTAGTGACATGTTACTGTGACTGAATAAGAAACTTGAAACTTGGTAGTTGACAGGATTGTGAAATATCAAACACCATCAGCTAGGGAAATACACCAATTTCAATAGCTTTGCAGCTCCTATCACATTAAACGTCAGCTGGGGTGGAGTCATAGCATAGGTCTGCTACAAAGAATATGAAAAAAATATTTTAAGTAGAGATGCAACAATACTATATGATAATTGAATATTGGTAATTATCGTAAATTTTTACTATCATTAATTATCGAAACATTACAATATATGATTGATAAATTTCTAATATTTTCACATCTTTACAGATGTGACTACAGTTTCGATTGAAATTAAACTCATAATGTGTCATTGTCAGAACACACTCATCCCTTTTGTTTGACATTGACAGCTTAAACGCAGAAAATTTAAGAGAAATACAAACATTTAAGATAACTTAATTATAAAATTAAGTAAATATAAATGTGTTTTTCCACTTAGTCCTTATATTGATATAACAACAGACAAAGTGATACAAATAAAGTTAATAAAATGTTGTACAACAAAAATCGTAATGCATTTGTATCATAATTGGTTATCAATTACAATATATTCGTCATTTGTATAGTATTGTAAGAGCTGTATTGTAGCATCCCTAATTTTAAGTATTTTTTTAATGATATAAAGATCATAATAGTAACAGCTTACTTCCATCTATTGGTGAATGCTTTGTATGATGTAGTGACTGGTAGAGCTAAGGGTACTCCATCACTGAGCACTTGACAGGTCACATATAAATCTGAGCATCCTTCTTGGTAAAGTCCAGAGAACTTGAGCATTGGGTCCGACAGCAGCTTGTCATATTCAGGTTTCGCCCGTTTACCTTCCAATGTACCACTGCACAGTAAAGGAGGTCACATTACTCAATCACATTGTTAGAATTAACAAAATGAGGCAACAATTGTTATAAAAATAATAATTATATTTATGGGCTCAGTTCAATTAATAATATAGTATTAACATCAGTTTAGGTCCATTTTGCAGCAAAAAATTATAATATGGAAACGGAAAAATATATTTTGTTTGTATTACCAGCAGATAAACAAAAGCTGATTCGATTTGTAGGTACTCACATTTTTATTTCCACTTTATGGTCCAAAGAGGAACTGTAGACATAATAAAATTTATCATCGATCTCATTCATATTCGAAATATTTAGTAACTTTTTACGTATTTTTGCCAAAAATTCAGGACAAACAAATAGGTAGCAGTCAGCTGCTGGCTGACAGTAACAGTCAACAAAGAATGACAGATAGATTGACTTTGAGATTGACGGTCGGTTTGACGATGATGATGAAATTGACGTAGCCATGGACGTACTATTTATACAGATCAGGCTACATATTATCATCACTTATATCCACCCTGCTTTAACTACACTGTTTATTTCTCGCGCTTGTTTTCTAATAATCTGAATCTGAGTGCACTCTGGCCGTACCCACTTACAGTTGTAAAGAGACTAACACGCGCACAACGAGGCGCACAATGAGATAGTTACAGCAGAAGCCCTTTGTCTCTTTCGTACAACATACAAGCCAATCATACAAGCCGTCGTACAAGAGAATCGTGTCAGAATTGAAAACAGTGTATCCTTGTCATTCTCTATACAGAATGAAAAGGAAAGACTCATGTTAAATTTAGTTTTAAGTTTAGAGAATAACGCCAGTATCGACACCATTGTTCTGTATTCTAAGACAAGACATTATTTTAGGCTTGTATGTTGTACGAAAGAGACAAAGGGCTTCTGCTGTAACTATCTCATTGTGCGCCTCGTTGTGCGCGTGTTAGTCTCTTTACAACTGTAAGTGGGTACGGCCAGAGTGGCTAGAACCTAGAACTATTTAATTTATTTTAATTATGAGGTCAGTGCAACATCGAATGAAGGTGTGAAACTTGTATAAGTACAGCAGCTTTTCTTTCTTCGTAGGCGTATAACATTTTAAGGTTATTTGGGTGGTACTGGGCTAAGCTGCATATTTTACTTAAAGTCATCAGAGAACGACAAAATACAACAAGATATGAGTGATTTTCAACAATTACTATGATATTTTACCAATCTTTGGTGAAAAATGTATTTTTTTATTTAAATGCAATTTTATACGATATTGGTATTGATTCTGACACGATTCTCTAAACTTAAAACTAAATTTAACATTAGTCTCTCCTTTTCATTCTGTATGGAGAATGACAAGGATACACTGTTGTCAAATTTACGTTTAGGTTTAGAGAATCATGCAAGAATCGACACCAATGTTGTAAAAACCACGTAAAAACACTATTATTTTGTCTTTCTATTCTTTTTTTCACGTTCTCCCTTTTTAGGGAAAGCAAAGGGAACAATGCCCATACAGCCTAGTCTTCAGTTTCTTTGTTCTTTTTTATATTAGAATATGGGTGTAACGCATTCTAATGTCTGTTGGAGTCAAACACTCCGCACGAAATGTATGGAGTCAGCTTTCTCGATAAGCTTCTGTAAGATAGTCGACACTACAATAAAGTTCTCACGTTCACTCGACCGGAATAGCATATTTTAAAGATTCCACTAATTCTTCAGTTGTGCAGACGGTTGTAACACAAAAGCAAGCAAGCAAGCCAATTTTATTTCACAATATCCACTATTAACGAATAAGAGAATAATTAAAATAAGATGCCAACCGCACTCGATGAAATCCCTTTAAAAACCCCTACTCTTTTTATCCTTCACAAGGATCAGAATCAGAATGAAATACTATGACAATGACATAAACGATTTCTCTATGACCAAACGTCCTGTACCAATAAACCGACATCTAGTTGATATTTTAAATCCTACATTTTATCATAATATAAATCTAATTACTAGATATTAACAGTAATAAAATGGCAAACAATGAATCTGAGTCAGCACCAGAGACATTGGAAGAAGCTGGTGCGCTTGAAGCCGATGTTGGGGCTCGCTTGTGAGTAGCATTATTTCGAATGTAGGTAGCTTTGAGTATATACTCGCCCTATTGCGAAATAAATAAAACTTGTTTCCTGCGATGCACTGGTATATATTAAGAATTATAAATAAGATGTTAATACATTAAGCAAACTTAAAATATTGAATGCAATAGAATTGTCATTCTAGCAACGAGAAAACGTAACCAGGCAACCGCTTTATTCTTTTTCATGTGTGTATCTGTTTCTACTAGACGAAATTTCGCCATAGACTCTACTCTATTTCATTTTCGAACAGGCACATTAACTTCGGAACCATAAACAGTTTTCGTGAACGAATGGAATGAGTCATGTTTGTGAATTCTTTTTATCTCTACTTTTAGGAAAACGTTTTTTTACTTGGAAACAATATAGGTAGTTTAGGGCAAATTTTTGATGACATTGAAAGAACCTTTTTTGACAGTGTTAGCCGACAAATTTGTAGAGTTGATACAATCTACTGTATGTCAACCTAAATTTGTCGTTTAATACTTTGAAGTATTGAAATTACAATAAATAATAAAAAAAATGGTTTATTTGTTAATTTTACCTGCTAAAAATGTTTCTCGAGCTAAGCAGCTATTATTAAAAATACTCTTGCAAGTATTTTAAGCTTAATAAAAACAAAAATATCAAAACGAAAATGAAAAGGTAACACTTTTCATTTCGTCAATTTGAGGTTAAACTTTCGAACAATTATCTGTCAAATTCAACTTTTCCTTCGAAAGTTTTGTGAATTAGAGTAGGCTTGGAGAATTTAATTGTCAAACTATTTCAGACGAACGAATTTTCGAAATGAAAAGGAAGCAGAGTAAGGAACGTGCGAAATTTCGATCGAATCTTCGCACTTTTCTTACTATGTTTCTGGTTCGTTTATAATTATAATAGTCGTCGGAATATAGATTGAGGTGTAGATTTTCTAAGCCTACTCAAAGAAAGCTTCAATTTGATAGTTTATCGTTCAAATTAAGTATAAACTTAAATTGACGAAATTAAATTTCGTTTGCACTTCGTTATCGAAAGTTCGTTTCGGGGAAACAGAGTAGACCTCCAGATCCCGTAGTAACTGCACGGAAGCGGCCCAAAAATATCTACTACATATGGTAGATACGCTCGTCGCTACACACACACACATACACACATTGACTGCTTTCAAACAATCTGACATTAGAGTCACGCACACATAACACGAGCGTACACGAGCCGTTTTTTTTGCGTGGTTTATTTTGATTGCTCTATCTAGGCGTGTATAATTATTATAATCAAAGGTAGTAAGTTTGTACCACTGTCTTTTGTTGTGGTGGTGTAATGTTTCTTGGGGTGTGTAGAGCCAAATCCAGGGCTCCAAGAGGTAGGGGTTAGGGCCTAGATAGACAATGTGTATAGGCGTAGCTACGGATTTTTCCTAGCATTCGACTTTATAAATACAGTAAAACCCGTTTAAGACGATTTCCCAGGGACTCAACCAAAAACGCGTCTTAAGCGGGAAAGCGTATTATACGGGATTGCGGGATAGAGAAATTATTTCAAAAAAAAAATCAAAAAAGTTTATTACGGTACCACATTTGTTTTACATCAAACCAGGGTGGGTTACTTCTATTAAGTGTTAAACACCTGTACCAGAAGGAACCACTCTTCCATAGCATCATTAATATTTCTTATGGTAAGGTCTTTTCATTGGATTTTTAATACGTTGTAAAAAAATAAAAAATAAAAAAATAAAAAATATATAAATTACAATTTATATAAGCGGTTGAGTGTGTGTGTGTATGCGTGTGTATGTGTGTGTGCGTGTTCGTGTGTGTGCATGTGTGTGCATGTGCGTGAGTGTGACGAGTGTACGTGAGTATGTGTGTACAAATGCTCTTTTTATCCGCTAGTAAGTAAGATTAAGAAGGCTCTCAGTGTCAATCACTGTCAATTTAAATGAATCACTTAATTTAGTTTGTCAAAAAGATTTTCAGGCATTAGCAATTGAAAGATTTTCATCATAATTCAACTTTTGCAGTACGTCCTCGTTTTGATTCAAAGAAGTTACATAGCGTCTTAAATCATGAACTGCTGATAATGCCTGGGCGTGTGACAAAATCGGAGTTCACTCATCTTTTTCTTGGTCATTATCACTTAGGGCCTCTTCTTGTGTGTTAATCACATTCTCATTGAATTATATACGGCGCCATATTGCCATCATTGGAAGAATATCCTGGAAAACCCTGGGGGCAGCATAGCGTGCGTCGCTCGCAAGAGTTGTGTACTGTACGTGTTGGCGATTTAGTCGTATTAAACGGGATGCGTGATCGTATTAAACGGGTTCTACTGTATAAGATGTTATGTAGCAAGTTTTTGTAATGTTTACTTTATGTAACTGTCATTTTGATCGTTTGATTATTTTCAAGCAAGTTATAAATAAAACTATTTAGAAAACAACATTTATTATGGATGTAATGCAATGGATTATGTAGATCCATTATGGACGACTGGTTAGTGAGATTTATTCAGAATGTATGTATTAGAATTTATTCATCAATCATCATCATCAATCGCCTATCTTAGTCCACTGCTGGACATAGGCATAGGCATCTCCAATTGCACGCCACTGAGATCGATCTTGGGCTACTCGAATCCAGCTCCTGCCAGCCACCTTGCGGTCTCGTCACTCCATCGCACCTGAAGACGTCCTACACTACGTTTGCCTAGACGCGGTCTTCACTCCAGAACTCGTCTACCCCAACGGTTATCGGTCCTGCGGCAAATATGGCCAGCCCACTTCAATTTGCTAATCCGGTGGCCTATGCAGGGCCGTGCCTGACGGGCGTTCATTGCGTGCACCGCACGCAGGCGGCCGAAATTAAGAGGCGGCCAAATCGTTACAAGTTGTTTACTGGGCAAAAATACAATCGGTTTGTTTTCATTATTCCTTGTTCTTTATGTTTGATAATTTTGTCTGTGATTATAAAACCAATACCATAATTTTTTTCATGTTATTATTTTTGTTTAAATTTTAAATAAAAAAAATGTTTATTTTGTGCATTTTTTTTTCTTAAATTTCATCCAAACATATAAATCTCATAAAACCGGTTTTTAGCCGGTTTTTCTTTTCAGAAACCGGTTTTGGGAACAAAACCAATATTTTTTTTCGTTCTCGATTTCGGTTAACCAAAAACTGATTTTTTTCCCGGTTTGATGCCCTGTGTATAATAATAAACATTAAAAATTAAAGTAGTTTTTTTTAATGTTATCCTGGGGGCGGCCATACAGACTGGCACGCAGGCGGCCATATACCCAGGCACGGCCCTGGGCCTATGTCGATAACTCTGCTTCTCTGTTGGATCACCTCATTTCTGATGAGATCCTTCAGAGAAACGCTGAGCATAGCCCTTCCCAGAAAACAACACATACATTATGTATATCGGTAGATTATATTTTGATTAATAGACGTATCGGTAGATGCGGACATTCTTAAAATACAATTCTTTTCGGTGGCATGTCATTGGCAACGCTGGCGCGCTGAAGTGCATCGACGGACGTACAGTGCAGCATGAGGTGGCTGTACTATGTCCAAATATACTATGTCGCACAGAGCGTAAAAAAGTACCTATTCAGTTTACGACATGAAAATAATTTTGCCATGCATCTTTTTCTTAAATTTGAGCTCTGTTTCAAAACAAATTTTCAAATACATATATATTTTTTACTTTAAAATTCATAGAAAAATTAATGAAAATCCCAGCCACCTCACGGTAAGAACTGTATTTTTGAGCGCCGCACCTTGGTAAAGTCCTTTAAGACCCTATTGAGGTCATGGCGGACGGAACGTATTAAAGTATAAAGTAAAAAACTGAAATACGTTCGCCAACGGGTTCCAGAATAAACTCATATCCATCAAGAATTATTCATTAGAAATGCTCAATAACACATTAGAAATGCTCAATAACATAGTACGCTTAACAGGGAATTTATCCCCTCAAATATGATCGAAATTGTTTTCAGTATTCCCGGGCGAAATATGTAGCCGAGTTCCTGTCGTACCTATTGAATTATTTGTACATATGTACGTACTTCATCATTAAATTGCCCGCAATCTCGCCTGCGTGGGCATCAATATGTTGCCCCGTCATTATTTGAACTAGATAATCATCCTATAATTAACTCCAAGATATGCACTATGCCTTTTCGATTATCAAGTTTCATCCAAATGTCTTCAGCCGTTTCAGCGTGATTTAGTAACAAGCAGTTTTTTTCCTAAATATAGTCAAATTTGCCGCTTCCAGTGAAGAGCCCCGTCACTCACCCGTATAATTTTCCGGCACCAAATATTCCAGCAAAATAAAATTATAATCTTGAATATTTGCTATACAGTAAAATACTAGCTTAATTAAATATTTATTAGGTATTGAACAAAACATCCCGTACACTCCACTATCCGGGTGGATGCATCCGCCCAGATAGTGGAGGGTGCGGGTTCGAGTCCCGTCACTGTCTGGACGGCATGGAAGTTTTCTAAAAAAAAAATCTTTACATTTATAAATCTAGCAATGAAATCTAGAAGTAAGTAAATAAAGTAAATAGGGTATTGAATATTCACTTGCAGTGACCAACAGTTAGCGAACATCGACCCCAGGCTGAAAATCCACATGGACCCTTTCGCACACCGTGACCTGCGTCCCGAGATGATGTCCATCAGAGAGGAGCTCAGGCAGGCCAAGTGGCAAACACTCGCGGTAAGTTTAAGCTGAGTGGCAAACACTCGCAATATGTTTAGGCAGAGTGGCAAACACTTGCAATTTGTGTAGGCAGAGTGGCAAACACTCGCAATATGTTTAGGCAGAGTGGCAAACACTCGCGGTAAGTTTAAGCCGAGGGGCAAACACTTGCAGTAAACTGAGCCTAAGTGGCAAACAGATGATGGATGTAATTCGCGGTGAGTTAAACCAAGATGAAAACTCTCGTGAATAGTTTAGGCTTAGTGGCAGTCGTCGCAGTAGGTCAAGTCTAAAGTAGCAAATATTCGCGAAAAGTTCAGGTTAAGTGGCAAACACTGGCGGTAAGTTGATGTTTAGTAGCAAACACTCGTGGTAAATTAAAACCAATCGACAGACGCGGGTGGTAAATTTATCCGCATAATTCTTAGCATAAAAATAACTTCTTATTGTATTTCTCTGCTCGCTTGTTTTACCACAAAACCACTTTTGCTATTCTACAGAGAAGAAATATGTTGTAGCCTACAACAACATATTTCTTCTTTGAATCTCTAGAATCTTATAAGTTTCTCTACCTATTTAGTTTGAGTATTTGGTAAAAGGTTATCCTTAACCATGAGCAGACCCGTCTTTCCCAGTGGGCACTTTGGGCAAGTGTCCAAGGCCTCGCGATCGATAGGGGGCCCCCTCAGATCAAATACAAAGTCCCTAGTTCCTGTTTAATCATCAAACGGAAGTCATAGGGGCCCCAGTATCCTAATATGCCCAGGGCCTCCAATAGGTCAAATACGGCACTGACCTTGAGTAATAAATATGCATGTAAGCACTATATTGGCATATTTTAATGGTAGTAAAAAAAGGTAAATGTCGTTATTGTGCCGACCCATAATTAAATTGAGAGAACATCGTAAGCGAATAACAGTACTGTAGTTGAGAATTTGATTACCTACTATGAGTGTCTGCGATTTGTGCTGCGTGGAAAAACCGTTTTGTTAAACAAGCTTCCGCGCCTAATGATGTGATTTCGGTGATACCCACACCTAGGATAAAAACTATCATTTATGTCCGTCCCCCGGACTCAATTTGAATCTGTGAGTGCAGCGGTTTAAGCATAAAGAAGTGAAAGACAGACAGAAAAAGACAGACTGATACACTTTCGTATTTATAACATAAGTATGGATTTATTTATGTAAATACAAAAAATCATTCTCAAAATTAAACGCTTATATAATTACTGTATTGGACACAGCAGCAACCCGCATCCCGTCAGAGCTGATCTTAAAGTAGTATGTTGTAGTGTATGACAGATTCCAATTTCGCACAATGCAGCTTGAGTTTCCATTAAAATGCTAATTCTGTTTTGTTAGCAACTGTTTCAATGAAGTCGGAAGGACTGCACGTTTTCCATACATAGTGATCATGAAGTTGTTTAATGCAAATTCCTGGAAATGAGGGATGTGAGTGAAAACTTATGAAACAAATATTCTATTTACAATTTATAGAAAGAATTATTTTGTACATATTTGTTGAGCAATCTATGCTCATGAAACAACGACTATATGGAAAACCTTATTAATGCGCTCTTGTTTCTTATCTATACATAGAATTACGAAGAATTAAATAAACATTGTTAAATTCCTGGTATCTGAATTGAACACTAAACAATGGATATTGTCTTTATCTGTACTAGCTATGTTTCCCTGTTATAACACGAACGCGTGATAATGATCGCATTTTTTCAGAATGTGTTTTTCCAACGCATAAACTGTAGTGTTTAACGTTTGTTTCATTAATTTAACATTCCTGTAGCGGCCTGTAAAAGATTCATTCATGGTTCGAACGTATAAATACACACACGTAAGTCCATCAATGCCTAGTTGTGACCAAGGCTTGTAAAGTTTTTTTTAAATAAAGCGCAGAAATTCTAACAAAGAAGTATCAAGGCAGACGATATTGTCACGTTACACGCGACAATATATGCAGTTATATATATGTATACTAGCTGTCCCAGCGAACTTCGTACCGCCATAAAAAAATAGGGGTTGGTGGTAGAAAGGTGAAAATTTAGGGTTGTATGTATTTACTAATGCTGTATCATAAAAAAAAAATATCTAAAATTGAAAAAAAAATTTTGGGGTGGATTACCCTTAACATTTAGGGGGATGAAAAATAGATTACATCCGATTCTCAGACCTACTGAATATGCATATAAAATTTCACGAAAGTCGGTCGAGCCGTTTCGGAGGAGTTTAACCACAAACACCGCGACACGAGAATTTTATATATTAGATATATACAGGGTGTCAAAGGAATAAACGAAATATATACATAATTTATATATCGTTATTATTAAACAGCATTGTGAGATGTCTATTCACGAGTATCCTTAGAAGCATTTTTAACCTTAGGCCACTACTGCTAGAGTGGGCAACATCTATTCCTATTTAGAGCGGTCAAATAAAACTCACTTAGAACCGTTCTTAATTATGTTCTTAATAATAGTCTAACATAATAAATTAAGGAGCTATGTTTTGATATATATCTGTTGCATTATTCTTATTAAGCAATGATTTTTTTGATAATCAGCATTTTTGAAAATTCGGGCATCTATCCGGCTTTTACCCTAAGTATTAGGTCTGTAGAGTTCCGGAATGATGTAAGCTTACTATTATCAGTTAATCTCTCTCTCCCCTAATTTAAGAGCTTTGCTCTTGTCGGTTCAGTCTGTGGATCCCTCTCCATCTCCCTCTGTCCTCCGCCAACTCTTTGAGCCCCCGTACGACTTGACGCCAACCTTTTCCTTGATTTGCTTAATGTAGGCTATCCTCGGTCTTCCCCTTCCTCTCTTTCTTTCCACTTTTCCCTCAATGATGTTCTTTATGAATTCGTCGTGTCGTAAAAGGTGGCGGAACATTCCTCCCCTTCTGTTATGTTCTATTGTCTTCTATCAGTTAATATTATAATTAAATTAAAATATAAGTCCGTATTTACGGGAATAATTCACTAGTATAAAAATCTAATTATACCTACAGTATTTATGTTTTAATCCAAATACACTAAAAGTGTGCCAAAATATATATTTACCGGGATGATGAAACAAACATCTAAAAAAATATTTGGCTTGGAATGCAACTATTACTCAATTTAAATTTGATTTTTTAAATAATTTATTACTCTCTTGTATGCTCTTCCAAGGGCGAAACATATAGAACTTTATATTATTTACCAACTGTAAGAAACTATGTTTCATGCATGTAAACTTTCATTTTATTTCATTTGCCTACCTAGCTTTAAAAAAAAGTAAGAAATACTAGCACAAATTACTTAATAGTTACTGGGACTAGTATAATAAACAGTACCTAAATACATAACTATACCTATAGGTGAGGTACATGATGAAACCAGATCCGTCTTTCTCAGTGGGCACTTTGGGCAAGTGCTCAGGGCCCCGCCATCGATAGGGGGCCCCCTCTGATCAAATACAAAGTCCCTAGTTCCTGATAAATCACCAAACGGAAGTCATAGGGGCCCCATTATCCTAATATGCCCAGGGGGCCAATCGCCTAACGAAAATGCTTTGGAAAAAGCTAACGCTTACGATTTTATTTTGTTATTTCTAGCCGCCTGAGGTATTCAAATGCCTCGCGCTCTTTCTTTTTCTTTTGCATTGGTAATAACAATATTAAAAAAAATGAGCGTGAGGTATTCGAAAACCTCAGGCGGCTAGAAATAACAATATAAAATCGTAAGCGTTAGCGTTTCCCAAAGCATTTCCGTTAGGCGATTGGCCCCCAGGGCCTCCAATAGGTCAAAGACGGCCCTGGATGCAACAATTTAGTACGGTAAGTATCAAGCAACGGAATTAGTTCATAAACTCGAGTAGAGTAGGTGATAATAGTTTGAGTGTTGGGCACGCGCCCGGACGTAGCTTAAGTAAATATGTAATAGGAAGCGATAGTATAAACAAAAAGTAATAAATAAACACTGACACGTGTGGGAGAAGGTACCTAAAAGTAAAACCCGCTGGGGAATTGACGCTCTTTAACATATTATTATTAAATAAAACTAGTTTTAACGGAAATTTATTTATTTACTAGTGACCCGCCCTCGCTTCGCTTCGGTGTAGAGCTGTAGTGTAAACTATAGTTTTTGTTCTCAGGCTTATAGTATAAACAATGACTTTATTTATATAATTACACGTGTTAAATTATTATGAGTCAACCATAAAAGATAGACATATGCTGTTGCGGGATATTTTTTTCGGACAATTTTATGTAGAATATTTCCGTCATACATGATTTCTATGTAACTTTAACCATTAAGGCTGCACACGCGACGGAAGCTTAAAAAATGGAGTAACTTCTCCCGTTTTCCCAACATTTCCCTTCACTACTCTGCTCCTATTGATTGTAGCGTGATGAAAAGTATACTATAACCTGCCCAGGAGTATGAAGAATAATTGTACCAAGTTTCGTTAAAATCCGTCGAGTAGTTTTTGTTTCTATAAGGAACATACATACAGACAGACAGACAGACAAAATTTTTACTGATTGCATTTTTGGCATCAGTATCGATCACTAATCACCCTCTGATAGTTATTTTGAAAATATATTTCATGTACAGAATTGACCTCTCTACGGATTTATTATAAGTATAGATTTATTGACGTTTCTCTCCCAATTGTGGAACCGGTGGTAGTTTACGGTAGTTAGGGCACGGTAATAATATCATATATTACCGTGGTTAGGGTCAAATAAATAACTCAAAATTACAAAAAAGAATTTTAAATAAAGTACTTTATTAACTTAATTAGCTAATAAATTCATACATAGACAATAAAGTTTTAAAAAACTTCAATGAAATATTCGAACGCTCAATAAAAGTCTTTGGAAGGTAGCTCGACAAAGAAAATAAAAAAAATCATTCTCTGACGATGCAGACCTAAAAGGGCTGCGAAACGTCAATAAATAAATAAATTTCATGCATTAACCCGTTAAAACTAGTTTTATTTAATGAGTGAT